CTAGTTTTAATTAAGAAAGAACTCGTATCGCTGAAGTTTCTGGGAAAGAATTTCTATGGGAAATTAACAAACAACCAGAGATGTAACAGTGGGTTTCGATACCCGCGGTGGGCAGTATTATAAAGTTTTGCACTTTACAACAAACAGACAAATCTTTCTAATTATATTTATTTGACATGTGGGTTCTTTAGAGTTATAGTAGGAAATATTTTCTAAAGGGGGCCGAAAGCCACCTGGAGGGGTCATCTGTTTTAACCACTGCATCATAATCCAGTAGTGTGTTGTCCATCAGTCAGTCAGTAGACACTAAAATGACGTCATATAGGGACACTTAACGTTGCTTCCAGTTTGTGTAACCTACATCAGTGAAAATTTTCTCTGCACTACTCGTGCCAAACTTCCTACAACAGTAGCAAAAGGCAGCATTTTTTATCACTGAATATTCAAGTCAAGGTATGTTATTATACCACTGTGAAAAAAATCGTTGCTTAATGGTTTCTGGGTATTGGCCAAGTTTGGGCTGTTTAGGAATATCAATTCCCAAGTCAAAAGAATAAGCACAACCTGTTTGTAAGGTGGATGTTGGCTTTGCTGGCGGTGTTGAAGTAGCTGAATTTGGTGGATTTGGTGTGAGCGTCTCTGTTGAACTTGGTGGGTTTGATGTGAGCATCTCTGTTGAACTTCGTGGGTTTGATGTGAGCGTCTCTGTTGAACTTGGTGGGTTTGATGTGATAGTCAGTTCATCCGGCCCGCCACTGCACTGTGCCACAAATGAGCTAAAATATAATTATTTATATGGAAATATCATAGATTGTAGATAAACTTAATGTGTAGAAAAAATTAAAATAAGTGTAAGTAAAAATGTCCAAATTTGTCAATCTGATTTTTGCATCTGACAGTAATATAAGTTTTAGGAAAATCGGTGAAATAAAAAATTCAGCGACTTTTCCGCTCTGATATCCAAAGTCGCATTTTTGTGTAAGTACCTGCGATGAGAGTTCATTCCTGCAGTCGCCTCTGATAACTTAACTTCCAAGTATTTTTTCTCCATCTATTGAGAGATAACTGAACTTCCAAGTATTTTTTCTCCATCTATTGAGAGATAACTGAACTTCCAAGTATTTTTCTCCATCTATTGAGAGATAACTGAACTTTCAAGTATTTTTCTCCATCTATTGAGAGATAACTGAACTTCCAAGTATTTTTCTTATTATTTGTTCTCCATCTATTGAGAGATAACTGAACTTCC